AATTTTTGCGTACTTGCATTGTTAGTGTATTATGGACAATGTTTGTGAAAAATAATTCCAAACGGAATAAAATATGAAAAAGGGCAAGTAGAAGTGGAAAAGGCGATTTTGGGTAAATGTCGTCCTAAAACTGAGTAAAATGATCTTTTGCTATGATTTCAAACATTGGACACCAAAGACTAGTTGTAATTGACATGTTATGATAGATAAATAGCTCATTAGATAAGAAATGTAGAAAACGGGCAAAGTAGTAGTGAAATAGGCGATTTCGGGTAAAAGCCGTCCTAAAACTTAGAATAATGCTAATTTGCTATGATTTCAAACATTGGACACCAAAGACTAGTTGTAATTGACATGTTATGATAGATAAATAGCTCATTAGATAAGAAATGTAGAAAACGGGCAAAGTAGTAGTGAAATAGGCGATTTCGGGTAAAAGCCGTCCTAAAACTTAGAATAATGCTAATTTGCTATGATTTCAAACATTGGACACCAAAGACTAGTTGTAATTGACATGTTATGATACATAAATTGCTCATTAGATAAGAAATGTAGAAAACGGGCAAAGTAGTAGTGAAATAGGCGATTTCGGGTAAAAGCCGTCCTAAAACTTAGAATAATGCTAATTTGCTATGATTTCAAACATTGGACACCAAATACTAGTTGTAATTGACATGTTATGATAGATAAATAGCTCATTAGATAAGAAATGTAGAAAACGGGCAATGTAGTAGTGAAATAGGCGGTTTCGGGTAAAAGCCGTCCTAAAACTTAGAATAATGCTAATTTGCTATGATTTCAAACATTGGACACCAAAGACTAGTTGTAATTGACATGTTATGATAGATAAATAACTCATTAGATAAGAAATGTAGAAAACGGGCAAAGTAGTAGTGAAATAGGCGATTTCGAGTAAAAGCCGTCCTAAAACTTAGAATAATGCTAATTTGCTATGATTTCAAACATTGGACACCAAAGACTAGTTGTAATTGACATGTTATGATAAAGAAATAGCTCATTAGATAAGAAATGTAGAAACTGGGTAAAGTAGTAGTGAAATAGGTGATTTTGGGTAAAAGCCGTCCTAAAACTTAGTTGAATGCTAAATCGGGCAAGTTAGAATGATGTTTGAAATATTTAACATATATACATTATTATTTTTAATTATTAGTTTGAATTTTATGTAATATATATGAATGATGTTTAATGTTTTGTATTTTTTTGTTTTCAAAGGTTTGTAAAAGGGAAGGCCCTTTGACAAAGGAAGAGGTTGATGAAATTCGCGACACGTGGGCTTTTTTTGTGACATTTGATGGCATCTAGGTAGAATATATAATATATATGTGTTTGTTAGATAATGACTTGGATTGAGTTTTTTTTTTTTTTTTTTATGAACAATAAATATTTATATTTAGTTGTTACCGTATCTTGTTTATTTTTATATATACTACGTAAATCCATATGTACATTATATTACTTATTTGTAATTAGTACTATACATTATTTATGAGTTTTATATATGTTATTATTATAATGCATTTTATTGTTATTGAATTATTATTATTCCAAAATTTGTAATATTTTTAATTACTTATTATTTATTAATATTAATTAATATAGTATTATTAATTAATAATAATATTAAAAATAATAATAATTTTTAAAAAAACTGGAATAATGTGCTTCTCAAAACAGGTCACTATTATTATTAATTATTATATATATTAAAATAAAAATAAAAATAAAAAAAACTACAAATGGGAAGCGGTTTGGCACCAAAACCGCTTCCCATTTGCATTGCACATAATGTTATGTGAAGTGCAAATGGCAAGCTGTTTTGGCGCCAACCCGCTTGCCATTCTCCCCAAATGGGAAGCGGTTCTGAACCGCTTGCCATTTGCTTGGCAATTGGCAAGCCCCCTAAACACATGCGGTTCACACCAGCTTCCCATTTGGGGGTTTGAACCGCTTCCCATAATTTTTTTTTCTACTAGTGGTTATAGTCTTTTCCTTAATTATTTTAATTTAATGAAATACTTTTTAACGGTGTTAGTCACGGTTGGGAAAAGACCAAACCATGGGTGTACTGATAGGAAGGAAAATTTTTTGGAGTGTATCAATAGGAAAAGTCAGAACCACGGGTGTACCAATGAGAATTTCCCTATTTTAAATAATTCATTAATTTTTTATCTAATGTGGCGAGGTGCTCGTTAGCACAATGTTGGAGTAACCTACGCCTAACGAGTGCATTAGGGTACAAGAAGCTCATAACCATGCCCAACGAGCTGTCAATTAGCACCACATGTTGGAGATCTAGACGAGAAGTTGCATACTTGTACTTTCATTTTATTTGTTTATATGTTTTTTTGATCAATTTTGGACGTTAATAAAGAAAAAAAAAATTAAATTGAAAAGGACCTATTTTCCGTGTCAGTTTGAGTTTCCGAGTTCGTGAGGTTTCCACTATTTTCAAACTTGAATCATACGGAGTACTAAATTATTGTATACATGCGTGTCAAATCTAATTCGTGTTTTTTTTTTCTTGTCAGTTTTAGGTCTGATCGGTTTTAACACCGATGCTATAACGTTCATACACAATGTAATCCTGCAATCAATTTTTTGAAAAATAATTTCAGAGAATACATCTGTGGATTGCGTAGAATCCAAAATGATTATATTCTCCAAATCTAATTAACAATAATAGCAATATTTGCTGAAGAATCTTACTTACATATTCATCACGTAGTTTTTCTGACGCAAAAGGTTGGCTAAAGATGCTTGCTTATCTCTCGTGGAAGCTTCACCCTAAAATGGGCATGATAAATGTGCTCCTTTCATTTGCACTTTTCTTATTCTAATCATAATGGGTTAATTAGGTTGCAGATACTTTCCCATAAATAAATAAATGAATTGGCTGCGCTATTAATTTCTTAATCCAAAAAATGTGGAACTTTAGCTAATGTTCTTTCTTTGATAAGGTTTACATTCATGTGGTAAAAATCCTCTCAAAAATTTGCATCACACGCTTCATCTACGGCTCATGTTTACTTTTTTTTTTTTGAACCCAAAGTGCCCTTAGCTTTTTTTTTTTTTTTTTATATATATTTTTTTATATTTTTACAACATTGGACTAACAGAAAAATACATAACCATCAACAAAGCTAATCAGGTTAACTCTACACCCATTTGCCAGGGCTCTAGCCACCTGTTCCCGACTAACCTTCCAAACCACACAAGTTTGGAAATGGACGCCTAACACTTAATTCTTTGAAAAGCCAGAAAAGCGACATATCAAACGTACTTTGGTGTTGAAGAAGGTGGATAATAGCTGAAGAATCCGTGTAAACTGTTATCCTCTGGAAACCTGCACTTTTTGCCCATTGTATCCCTCCTAGACAGCTCAAAAGTTCTGCATGTAAGGCTGAGGAGGCCTTGCCAAATCCTCCCCCACGATCAACAATAGTAGAACCATCCATGGTTGAAGTCCATGCCACACCCGCATTTCTCGAGTGTTTCTGCCACGATCCATCTGTCATAATACTATCTCTAGACCATCTCCTAGCGGGTGATAGATACTAGGATCATGTCGACCTATATGAACTCGAGGAAACCCGGCGGAGGGCCAGACTGTCCTTCCACGACATGGACCATATCATTTGTCCTAAAATTCGGTTTCAGGAAAGTAGTGTTTAGCTCCTTGTTATACTCCTCCGTCACCCTTTTAAGGGTTCCTAGCCAGTCTTGATCTCCTGTAAAGACCTTTTCATTTCGCGTAAGCCATAAACTCCACAAAATGCCAATAAAAGTGTGAATTCGCTTACTTTCCAGACCATCCTCGCTATAGAAAAGCAAGATATAACTCTGAATCCAGTGTCCTATCGGAGTAGATTCATCAATTTCAGAGCTAATAGCCAGAGAAAGTTTCTCGAAGTGTACTTAGTTGTAGAGCACAACCGAAATATGTGTTGGACCGACTCCACCTCTGTTTTACATAAATCACATTCTTCCCCCTTTGGCACCCCTCTATGATGAAGATTAGCCTTCACAGCTAACCCATTCATAAAAAAATTTCCATAAAGTGCCCTATTTAAGGGTCGATTATATAGGAAAATGATGTAGCACTACTAGTAAGATTTTTTATTTTTTTTTTATTTTTTTTTTTTGTGCTTACTAGTAAGATTGATCGTTAATCTTGTTTACTAATATTTGTTTTTTAAAAAATATAGATTATGAAGACGAACAAGCCCTTAAAGTCCTGATTTATACTCTAACTCCTAAGGGTTGTACATTAAATATTTGATTTTCCCTTTTGTTGGAAGCTAAGCTGGCTAATTATGTTGTCAAGGGGGTTACATGTTATATATTGCTCAACTATTTGCATTATTGCACTCCCATAAATTGTGAGTTGCGTATAAAACTAGGCCTAACCTTTTCATTTTTCAACTTTTGAGATCTTTCACATTTTTTTTTTATTTATATATTTTTAATTTTTTAATTTTAATTTCTTTTAATTTTTTTTTTCACCTTTTAGGACCTCTAGTTAACTTTACGGTCATTTAACCCACTTTTATTAACTTTCTTGTCATTTTTAGGGGACAACTTAGTTAACCCAAGGGACTAACTTATTTAGCTCAAGGAACTAACTTTTTAGCCGGAAATTACCCATGAGGTCCCAAACGGTGAAAAAAAAGTAAGAGGTCCCAAAAGGTGAATAAATTAAAAAATTAACCCCAACTTTATACTTAATACTATAAATTGTATGAGATTGATCTCGCTCAAGACAAGTTAGTGAAGATATACACCCTTTAACTACCTTTGCATTCGTACACAACCAAAGTCCAACTAAGCATTGGGTTTCTCACACAAAAACAATCATAAGCATTAATATCAAAAACCTGCAAATTAATGAATTAATCCCACAATCTTCAGGGATCATAATCAAACATCATTGATAATTAACCAAAGAAAGAAAGAAAAAAAATAATAAAAAAAAACCTCAATTGCTATGCAATTGGCCTAGTTGGTGACCCATAAGTGGCCATAACCAATTCTTTAAAGAATCCCGCTTTTTTTTTTGTTTGTTTAACAAAAATATTAAAACAATTATATTATCCTATATAATTTCACAATTCACATCACTTAAGACATAAATATGTAACCAACTAGATTAAGAAAGGAGTAGACCACAAGCAATGTACAACGAACATTGAAGAAATGGTGAGAATGATGGAAGTAAGAGGGTGTACTTCTAAGGAAGCGCCATTCGATTTCTTATAGTTTGGTGGATGATGAATTGCATTCGAACCGCCTCCACCAACACCCCTCCCAACACCCGAACCACCACCACCACCATGTCCTCCTGCCGCGCCTTTCTTCATATAGTAATGATACTTATTTGCTTTATTTTCATCATCACTAACCGTGTTATTTACTTCCTCTTCATTTTGTAAGCTGTTCTTATCTGCCTTATGTTCACCTGCATTTAAATGAAAGGTTAACTATGATTATTACAAGTATAATACAACTAAATAATTTGAAATGATGTAAAATTAACCTACTAAGAAGTATAAATTTGATATAATAAGCTAATTTAAAACCATAGGCTATAAATAATTTTTTTATAAAATGAAAGGGAAATATTTGGACCTTTATGTTGTAGGAAGTCTTTCATATTAGGAGGATTATTGGATTTTGTGGCAGATGAATTCAACTCAAATAGAGAGAAAAAGATGAGGAGCAACAAAAATAGATTTTGTAGATTCATGGTCTCTCTACTCTAGCTGGTTTCTCTCTTAGTGGTAATGTTTGCAGTATACTACTATCTAATAGTAGGCCTCATAGGCAAGGAACGAATGAGGTTTTATATATATGTGAAGATAAGCAACTACAGAGGACTAAAACACGTTTTATATGAATCTATACTAATATATTATAAAAGTGTTTTTAAACAAGACTCTTGATACTTCTTTTAGCTGTTTTATTTTATATGTTTTTACATATAATTTAAACAAATATACTTTGTATGAGATTTGATCTTGTAATTACATCAGAACAAAAATCCCTATATAATTTGGTGTTATATATTTTTAAAAAAAATGTATAATTGGTGCAAGTTTTTTCGAAAAGTAATAAATAATAATAATATTGCATATACACCATACATAAACACTCTTCAATTCGGATTCAATTAAGATCTTGTCCAATTCAATCAGAGTTTTGAATATTTACGATTCAATTTGCACATGGTTTTTCCCACTTAGGGCTTAGTAGCAAAGGAAATGTATCTAAGGTACATGTGTTATATGAAGTACTTCGTATATAAATATTAGGAAAAATTGTCAAAAATAATATAAGCTTTGAGCGATCCGCTAAAACCAAGTCGCGATCCGCTAAAACCAAGTCAATCTTTTAATTTTTTATGAATAATACAAACTTTGAGAAATGTCCTCTTTAAACAAGTTATTTTACCTACAACATATTTGACCAATTTTTTTTTTTATTTTTTTTTATTTATCTTATAAAGTTATATACCTTATACAAGGCTGGACCCCTTCAAAAAAAGTTAAATCATTTTTTTATCACATCACAATAATAATAATTTATGTTTTGCACACCTAAAACAAAAACCAATTTTAACTAATTAATGAAAAGTGTAGATAACATTATTAAATGGTGGAAGTATATATTAAGGAGCCAAGAGATATATATTTTATTTTAATTAATTTGTCGAAACATATAGAATAAAATCTTGTTTACTTTGAAAATAAAGCTAAGTTGTATCTTGTAGGGAAATGGCACTGACAGACTGGCAAAGGATAGTTTTGAAATGAATCACTGACCAAATTATGCTTACTCTTTGAAAGTGGTCATCTATGGTAGGGTGGACCTTAAGCTTCTGGAATTTGAAAACGGCTTTGCATTGTAAATCAAATGGTGGGGTCTAAGATCTGACATTCATTTGGTCCATTATCATACATTAACAAATGCTTAATAATGTGGTTTATAACGTTCATAATCTTGTTTACTGTGTAACTAACTTACAAATTTTGAATGTTAGATTTCTCGTTCATTCTTCAAGTTCTATGGAAACTGAGATATAAAGTATATGGTATTTCATTAAACATTTTCAAAGGCAAATAACTTAAATTTCTAACCGTCAAAATCAAACATAGAATTGAAGATGTTTATTTTCCTAAGAAATACAATCTCCTAAGAAAGAGGAATATGGAGTTCTGTTTTTTTTTTTGAAGGGGGAGATTAAAATTCATTAATAATAAAGCCATACGGCACTTACATAAGAAATCGTAATCGAATAATACAAAGACAAAAGAACCAATTACAAGTTCGAAATAAATGAAACTACAATTGCACGCGCATAATGACTTTCTAAGATACCCTTGGCTCATATAACGCTGTCCTATGCAGCCTCTTGCAAGGGGGTCTGGCAATATGTTGTAGTTTCTGACGAGAACCTTCATTGGCTCAAAATCCTGTACTCCTCGACCTGAAATCAAAATTGGTGTCGTACACTCCACCCTTGATAAGACAATCTCCGATTTAAACACAGATATCGGCATGGAAGCATAACCCTTTAGCCCAAACCAACAGAAGATCAAACCAAAGCCCCATAGCCAAAAAACCCGGTTCAAATCCTGCACCAGAAGATCGGTATACCGATCTGCACACCCCATAGCACACCAACACACCACACAAAAAGAAAAACTAACAGACCCAAAAAACACACAAAGACGGAAACATGAAACCCAAACACTACACACACCACTAATAGAAAAAACAGGAACAAACTTAAAAACAAGAACTACGAACGGAACCCTAACAACCCACCCCGCCGCCACTCCGAGCACAACCACCAAAGCTCCGAGGTTCACCAACCCAAACCACCTACCGCCTGACAATAAAACTCGAACCACCAAGGCCCGCCCGAGAAGCCCAAACCCCCCACACCTCTGAACCGCGGCCGCGACGGCCCTACGCGAGGGACTTAGAAGGATCTCCCTCCCCGTTCTCGAAAACAACGACGCAACAACGGACAAAACGGAGGGGCATAGACACGGCGGGGAGGCGAAAACCAGAACCGGCGGCAAGCCGGCAGCAAGGCCGGTGAGGAAACGGAGCGGCCGAAAATGGGAAGCGGTGCACGATGCTAGGCCGGAAATACAAAAAAAACAAAACGAAAACTAAGACGCAAACGAGAAAGGAAAAAACCACCTAAGGGAGTAGATCGGAGGCTCGCCGACGCTGTGGCATGGGCGGTGAGCCGCACGCCGGCCGGCGAGCCTCATGGCCGGAGAAGTTAGGGAAGCCGAAAGGTTTTTGAGAGAAGGAGGGGGGGCGCTAGAGAGAGAAAGTTAGGTAGGTTGTTTTATTTTACTTATTTGCTCTCATTAATGTATGGAGTTGTGTTTAGTTGGAGGAAAATGAGAAAATAATTTTCAAGGATTTCTCACCAAGCCCCCCCCCGTTGTGGGTCCACCTTAAGTTATGGTAAAATATTTCATTATTTTAGTCTTAGGCCCTGTTTGATTCACCTTAATTTTGCTGAACTGAACTTATTTTTACTGAACAGAACTTAATTTTACTGAACTGAAATTATTTTTACTGAACTTAAATTATTTTTACTGATTTTCTATTATAATTCTTCTTTAAGAAAACTGAATTTTACTGAACTGAACTTATTTTTACTGAACTGAAATTATTTTTACTGAACTGAAATTAATTTTACTGAACTGAACTTATTTTTACTAAACTGAAATTATTTGTACTTAATATTATTTTTTTAAGGTGAAAAGAACTAGGCCTTAATAAATAGCCCAAATTGTATTACTTATAAAAATACTTATAGTAAGCTTTTGGTGGCTTGTTATTGTATTACTTTGAGCTTAATAAATGGCCCAAATTGTATTACATTTTACTTATAGTTATGAGTCCAACTTTGAGCTTATTTTTGGTGGCTTGCTTAGTAAGCTTTTGAGGGTAATTCTTGCTAAGTGTGGGCAGCCAGTGCAGTAAGAAGGGAGAAAAAAAACCCAAACAAAAGTGAGGGTTTTGAGAAAAGGCGATATCTAGGGACAACATTTAGAGATTTGTCCATTTCTGTCAATTTGCTGTAAATTCCATCGTTGGATCGTCTTCAAAATTTGACAGCTTATTCTTGACATCAAGATTTTCTTTTTGAACGGTTGGTCATCGTCTTGAGCTCTGGTGTGGTCAGAATTGTCTTAAGCTAACAAAACTGTTGTCTTTTGGTAATTTTTACTCCTTTTGTTCACTATTTTCATCTCTTATTATTTGGTCATTTTGGTGTATGATGGTGGGTGGGAAAACCTTGTGTATGGTTTGGGGTTTATTTTTCCCTCAATTTTTAATAGAATTTTTTTGAAAATAACACCACATATTTTTTTAAAAATGGATTATAACACCACCTTTTTTCAAATTTTTATTATAACACCGCATAAAACCCAAAAATTGAATTTCACCACCATCTAACGGTATCTTTGAATAGAATCCAATAGTGGGACCCACTAAGCACAGGTGTCATTCATTGATTGGTTTTAAAAAAAAATTGAAAAAAAAAAACAAAAAAACCCAATATCTAACCCAGCCCTACCACCGACAACTATGACCTGCCGCCGGCAGCCCTGAAACCCTAATCCCTAACCTCGCTCCAGCCTCCGGTACCCCTTTTTCCCAGTGGTCGACACACCTTGCCCCCACCAAAACCGGCGAAACTAGCCCCCTTCCCCGATAACTACCCCAGTTCCGCCTAGCTTCATAAATCCAACAGCACCAACCACGAAATTTGCACCAAGCAACCCCCGCAACCACCTCCGCCACTACACACAACCAATTCACACCCCTCCAAACCACCAAGATCCAGTGGAATGTGGTTGGTATATGCGTGCGGTGGTTCAAAGGGGCTGAGGCTCGAAAATTTGGTTGAGATTTTGCGGTGGTTAGCATCAATTGCAACCTCGATTCTGGGGGGAAGGGGTGGTTTTCGGGGAGGGGGAAGAGCGGCAGGGAGAGTTGGGCGGGGGAAGGGGGTGCAGGTGACTGTGCAGTTGGTGCTGGTGGTGGAGCTTGGCTAGGCTAAGGTTTTGCATTTTTTTATTTTTTTGAAAATTTTCTAAACCACTAAATTTATGGCATGTGTCTAGTGTGACCCCACTAACGGATTCCATCCAAGAATCCGTTAAATGGTGGTGAAATCCATTTTTTTTGGTTTTTATATGGTGTTATAATAAAAATTTGAAAAAATGTGGTGTTATAATCCATTTTTTTCAAAATATGTGGTGTTATTTCCAAAAAATCCTTATTAATAAGAGAAGATTAAGGGTGGACTTTTCAGAAGGTCCCATGGCTTTTTACTCTTCACATCGAAGAGGTTTTTCCACATGTAATTCTCGTGTTGATTGAATTGTTTTACTGCTTGTTTGTGCTTTGTTTTTATTGCTCATTACTTGGCTTAATTGGTGAATTGATTTTGGTGAATTAGTTTGGGTTGTTGATTGGTTAGTGTATATGGTTGATTTTCTTGATTGTGTGACATCGTGGGTGTGGTTGCGACCCCCTTCCGACTCCTACCCCCCCCCCCCTAATTGGAAGGAATTTCCTAGAAAATATTATTTCCTAGAATGTTAACCAAAGTTAGCTCAATTTCTAGAAGATAAGAGAAAAAATTTCTCATGAAATACGAATTCCCATTAAAATCACGTAAAACGATATTTAAAATATTTGTACCTTAATAAAAAAATTGTCCAAATCATTGGTGTATCATTGGAGGTATGTCATTTACTTCACATAGTGTTTTAAGTTACAACAACTATTCACTCAAATTGTCCAAGTACAAGATATCCCTCCAAC